AGGATTATCTGAACTTCTTTGTAGTAATTCTTCACTCATAATTACTTCTCTTTTTTGGTATATTGGTATACTCCTTAACTGTTAATTTTCGATAGTCTTTCGTGCATTGCTTAGCAAGTTCATTAATCTGTCCTTTCTTTTTTACTTTCTCCCTTTCTCACTCCTTTAGGAAGAAGTCTGAGTTTTCTTCAATTATCCTTTCTATTTTTCCTTTATGAATATTAGTTTGCATATCAACTTTACTTTATACTTTAGTATATGTTTTATTTTAACAATTATTAGCAATAAGTGCCTAAGTCTTATACAGCAATCTCTATCTTTTCTAAGTCTAAAAGGGCATTACGAAAAGCAATGGCTTGGTCAAACTTAAATTCCCGAGTAAATCTTTTCATTTGTCTTCGCAAATCTTTAACCAATTTTTTTAATTCTTTTTCTTCCATTTCTCCTTTTTGGGCTTTTTCTATTAACAGGGCTATTAGAGGGTCAAGAGCAATATCCTTAACCGGTTTTTCAACGGTTTGAGGGACGATATTATTCTGACGGTTGTGTTCTTTCTGAATTTGGCGGCGACGGTTGGTTTCCTCAATGGCACCTCACATATTATCAGTAATTTTATCAGCGTAAAGAATAACCCGGCCATTCCTATTTCGGGAAGCCCGTCCAATTATTTGAATTAGCGAACGAGTGTCCCGCAAAAATCCAGGTTTATCAGCATCTAGAATACAAACCAAAGAAACTTCAGGCAGGTCTATTCCTTCTTTTAGCAGGTTAATTCCAACTATTACGTCATACACTCCGCGCCGTAAACTAGTAATGGCTTGGTATCTTTCAAAAATTTCTAGACGGCTGTGAAGATAAACTACTCGGATATTTCTTTCTTGTAAAAAAGCCGCAATATCTTCCGACATAGCAATAGTTAAAGCATAGATAAGCACTTTTTCTCCTCGGTGGCTTTTTTCTTTTATTTCTTCCATGATGTCGGCAATTTGGTTGCGGGTGGTTCTTACTTCTATTTCAGGGTCAAGCAGGCCAGTCGGACGAATAATTTGTTCCACTGGCTGATAATTTACTTTCTCTAGTTCGAAATCGCCTGGGGTAGCAGAAACATAAAGAGAATAGCCAATTTTGGCAAAAAATTCTTCCTGGTTTAAAGGACGGTTATCCAGGGCGGAAGGTAAGCGAAAGCCATATTTTACTAAGGTTTCCTTGCGGCGGCGGTCAGTGTTATACATGGCCCTGACTTGAGGGATGGTAATGTGGGACTCGTCAATAATAGTTAAAAAATCCTTGGGAAAGTAATCCAGCAAGACAAAAGGGGTCTCTCCCTCACTTCTTCCGTCAAAATAGCGGGCATAATTTTCAATTCCGGGACAAAAACCCATTTCCCGCAAGTTAAATAAATCTTCCTGAACCCTTTTTTCTAATCTTTCGGCTTCTAAAAATTTTCCTTCTTGGCAAAAGTATTCTTTTTGTTCATTCAATTCTCTCTCAATTCTTGCTAGAATTTCGGTTAATTCTTCTCCTTCTTCACCCACATAGTCCTGGCTGGGCGGAATAGCAATTTTTTGCAGTTCTTTTGTTATTTCATCCGTTTGCTGATTTATTTTTTCTATTTTTTGAATCTCGTTTCCCTTAATACTTAACGAGAAATAGTAATTCTCTTCCCAACCTAGCATGAAGTTGATTTTGTTCTCCTTTATTTGGCAATTTCCTGGGTTGATCTTTTTGTCATTTTTATATCCGAGAAGCAATAATTTTTCTTGAAGCAGGTCCTTATCCACTCTCTGCCCTTTTTCTAAATGAATTACTACTTTTCGATAAGAGGTGGGATTAAAGCAGCCATAAATGGCGGCCACAGAAGCCACCACGATTACGTGTCTATCAGTAACCAAAGAATTTAAAGTTTTTAAGCGCATTTTGGCAATGCTGGCATTTCTTTGAACTTTTTTGCCAATATACATATCACTAGCGGGTTTATAGGCTTCTGGTTGATAATAATCAAAATAAGAAACATAATATTCAACCTTATTATGAGGAAAAAATCCTTGCATTTCTTGATAGATTTGCATCGCCAAGGTTTTATTATGAGCTAGAATTAGAGTAGGTTTTTGGGTTAGTTGGATAATGTTTGCCATGGTAAAAGTTTTGCCGGTGCCGGTGGCTCCCAAAAGAACTTGCTCTTTTTCTCCTTTGTGAATACTTTCGACTATTTTCTTGATAGCAGTGGGTTGGTCTCCTTTTGGATGAAAATTAGTTATGAGACGGAACATGAATTATAAAAAAGTTTTAAACATTCTTTACTTTTTTTAACTTTTAATTATTATAAAACCAGGGAGAACGTGGATTTTTTGTGTTTATTTAACTAATGAATACTCTTTGTTACTGTCATTTATAATAAAAATAGTATTATATTATGATCGACTGAAAAGATATTCATCCTGATTTCACTAGTGAGTTGCAAAAAGAATGAGAAGACCGAGGTTTTGATTATTATGATTGCAAAGGATATATTGATAAAAATATAGAACCCCAAGAAGCCGATTTTGCTAACTATTTATATTACCAAGGCTATTATTTTTATGGCTCTGGTTCATTAGTAGGCTGACCAGATGAAAAAATTGCTAAAAAAATAAAAGAACTGAGAGAAGAATATACTCGATGAAAAAACGCCGGTATTACTTCTGAATTTGCCTTCCAGTGACAAAATATTGGCTTTACTTACGAACAGATTAAAGAATGGTTGGAAGTGGGATTGCAACCCGTTGACTACGAGTTCGCGGCTTATTTAAGAAACAAGAATTATGTCCAACAACAATTTAACTTAGACCAGTTAAGAAAAGAATTTAATGATTGGCGGACAAGCGTGCTAGCCGAGGACTATTTGAACTTTTGCTATCTTAAACCAAAAAGAAAGTCAATAAAAATACTGGATGTCAAGAACAAAAACTTAACCGGTTCTTTAGACCTATCTGATTTTTTAAATCTAGAAATATTAGATTGTTGAGGCAATAAATTAACTAGTTTAAAACTTAATAATTGTCGACAACTAAGAATGCTTAATTGTAATAATAACCAATTAACTACTCTTGACTTAACTAACTCGGGTAAATTAGAAGGTCTTAGGTGTGGCGATAACTATTTGGAATATTTGGCTCTTTCTCCTCTTCAAACTAAACAGTTAACTTATTTGTATGCCGAAAATAACAATTTCCTTTCCCAGGATTGCTCTGTTTTTGGAAAAAGTGTTAATTTGAGGGAATTAAAAATAGGCAATCACAATCAAATAAAGATTAATCAAGGAGTTTATAATCGATTTACTGGCTCTTTAGAGCCCTTACAAAATCTGGGAAAACTGGAATATTTAGATATTAGCAGCACTGACATTGATGATGGATTAGAATATTTACCAGAAAATATTAAAGTTTTTTCTTGTGAAGCAGACAAAAGGAAACAGGCAAAAGTAAAAGTCATTCAAGAAGACTGGGAATGTTTCAATCATGATTTAAAGAAATACAAAGATTTTGTTAATAAGCCTGATGACAATCAGAAATTATTAGACCAATGATTAGAAGAAAATTATCCACAAAGAGGGGAATGCCAAAGAGAAACAGCCGATGAAGGTTGGGACGGTAGTGGCGACTGAAATAATAAAGGTAAAAAAAGAGTAGAAATTACTAAATTAGACCTTAGTCAGCAAAATTTAGCCGGAAGATTAAGATTAAAAGGGTTTACTAACTTAAAGAAATTAAGTTGCTCTGGCAACAAGTTAACTAGTTTTAATTTAGGTGATTGCCAAAGTCTAGTCGAACTTAAATGCGATAACAATCCAAATCTTTCACAAGACTTAAAAGTTTTGATTTCTCTGAAAGAGTTAAAGTATTCAGACATTAGCAATTGCCCATTTGAAGGAAGTTTAAAGCCTCTCGAAAGTTTGAATAAGTTAGAATGATTAAGCATTAGTAATACCAGCCTAAAGGAAGGATTAGAGTACTTACCAGAGAGTTGCAAAAAAGTTTACTGCAATAGTAATTATCCTCACCAATCCACCAAAATCATGGAAGAACTGGATAAAAGTAGATGTCTGGTAGAAGAAAAAGAAGATTCGAAATCGGCTAGCAAAAAATATTACAGCCTTGACAAATGGAGAACAGACAAGCAAAATAACATCACCGCTTCCGCCATTCCCTTAGAAAGGTTATTTGTTATTCGCAGCAACCTCAAGCAGTTTCTTAACAAATGAGGAAAAACAGACGAAGGCGAGCCAGGCAATGAGTTAAGCAAACTCCAATCTCCCGAACAATACAGTAAATTTCGCTATCTCGGTGGCGTAAAATGAATTGCCCGCGCTGCTGCGGTCACGGGTGGTATTTTAGCTTTAACCGATCAAGCGACAGCTGGAGGCTCTCTCGCTGCCGCCTCTCCTCTTATTGATGCGATTGCTTCTCAAATTGAGGAGAATTATTACACCAAGAGGGAGGAAAAATGAAAAGAATTCTTAAATGATGCTGACACGTTTTTGGACAATTATCATGAACTATTAGGAATAATTAAAAAACTTGGCATGGGTTCTGATTTAGGAAAAGTAAACAAGGCGTTAAAAGACTTAAATGAAAAAGCCGATGAGTTTTTAGAGATATATGATGAAAACCATAACAAAGAAGTAGATATTAGCGAATTGATTGAAAAAAGAACAGAACTAGCCAAAGATTTAGCCAAGGACAAAAAAGAAAGCCGTTCATGAGGAATTGTTGAGTCTATAAAACTACTTGAAGACAAAGTGGTTGACTATAAAAAAAGAGGTTCTTTAATTGAAGAAGAAAATGTAGAAGAATTCTCCAAAGAAGTAGAGGGAACAGAAAAAGAGAAAAAAACCAGGGAATTTGAATCCATCGAACCAGAATCTTCCCAACAATGATTAGCAGTTAATGTGGAGAGTGAACAAACAAGTGTTGCTTCTTTGACTTCTTCGCATGTCAGTCTTTTAGATAAGGAAGAAATAGAAATGAAGAACCTAGAACAACAGGCAAACATTGTTCAACAATCTGCTTACGGCGTTCCTGGTTTCAAATAAAATTGATTGCTGTTGTTTGCGTCCAAAATGACTTGGTTGAAAAACTATTTTTGGGCATCTAAATTTTATTTTTTTATGGCTTTATTGCGTTCCTTCTTATTTTCTATGACAAACCTGATTTTAATGCTTTGTTTGGAAAGTAAATGTTTGATTGCTTTGTTGACAAGTCCTCTTTGTTCTTATGTCCTTGTTGCGTTAGGAAAGACCTTAACAATTAGGATAGTCTTGAGTCCCTAACTTTTTGGTTCTCTTTAATTATCCTAAATAGATTTAACTTGTTTGTGGTAGATTAAAAAAAGATTATGAAATATTTATGTATTGACCCTTCCGGAACCGGCACTACTGGAATATTTTTTTTTCAGGCTAGTAGTAAACCGAGCCATGTATTTTCTGAATATAAAAGTAAAAAATGAGAAGAACATTTGAACTTTATTGTTGACCTTGTAAAAGAATGGGAGCCAGATGTTATTATTTACGAAAATACTACTTACATTTACGGCCGACAACACCAAGGGACCGTGGGACTGTATAAATTAATTGGTAGTATCGTGGCTTTAAAACACATTTTTAATTTTATTCAGGAATTAGGCAGTGTTGCGGTTAATCAAGTCAAACCTTTTAAAGACAAACTTTTCAACGGCCAGGAACAAATAGAAGGTCTAACTTGTAAGGCGGGCCGTGGTAAAGGCTGAAAATATAAGCGAAAAAAAATTAGTTTGCATCAATTAGATGCCTTAGTAGTTTATCACTTATGAAGTGGCGGAAGTTTAGAAAAACAGAAAAATATTAAAAAAAAGATAACTAGTTTAAAAGCCAAAAAAAGATTAGGCATTAAACAAAAAGAACAATTAAAAAAGTTAGAAGGGTTTTTAGTTGAAAATAATAATTAACTATTTTTCCTTCTTTTTCGATAAATTACTCAAATACCGACTATTACTATTAGGACAATACTCCCCACTATCAGAAAAAGAGTATTTTGGCTAAATAGTTTTCCCCCATTCGGTTGGACTTGGTTATTTTTATTTTGACTGTTTTCGGGAGTTTTGGGAGGAATGGGAGGTAAGTCTGGCTCTCCTCAGCGTCCCTGTCTTAAATATTCCTCTTCCTGCTCTTTACATTGATGATTTTTAACTACTTGCTTAATTTCTTCTCATTCCCGTTCAGTAAAAGTTCTTATATTAAATCTTCGGTGCGGTTTTTTGATATTTTGTAATACTAATTCTACATACCATTCCTCTCCTGTTTTTTCGTCCAGTCAACCCACACTTTTTGCTATTTTTCAATCGGTCGCTGTTTCTTTAATATCTTTTATCATCAAATTTCTGATTTCTTGAAAGTGTTCTGGAGCTAAGTAACCCACACCAATTTCTCTAATTTCTTCTTGACGCAATTGCTTAGGCTTGTTATTTCTTAAATATGAATGGTCCAAAATTCATCATTCTAAACTATTAATTACCAGATTCCTTAATTCTTGACTTTTGGCTAAATATTTCGGTTGAACTAAATTAATAGCTTTGGTTAGTAAATCATTGTTATTCTTGGCGGCTTGAGCACATTTTCCTTTGTCGCTTTCACGAGGAGCATTGCGAAACTCTTTTAAACTTGCTAAGCAAGAAGAAGCAGCCGAACTAAAACTATTCAAATAATTATTTCAGTTGTTTGCTCTCCTCAACTCCTCGATTAAAGAAATAACTTTTGCCAAAGAACTACAAGTATCTAAAACTGAGTCTTTGACGATATTTTTTTCTGGGCCAGTTAAATCAAAAGGTAACTTACCTCCTCCATAGTATCTGTTTTCCTCCAACATTTCTTTACGAGCATATTCCACCTCTTTTTTGTCTCTATTACTTTCTTCGCCTTTCATAACTTAATTTTATATTATTATCCCGTAACTTATAAAGAAAAAAGTTTGTTTTGTTTTTGCGAAAAAATCCTACTTAAAAAAATGCTCCTCTTCTCCTTTTCTCACAACAAAAAAACTAAAAAAAATAACTAACCATTAGTCTTTTTCCTTGCCCCAATTTTGGCCAAAAAGGTCATTTTTTCTTTTCCCTAAAATATATTTATATGTCATTGCTAATCACCCTGGAAGGAATAGACGGAAGTGGCAAAACTACTCTCATTAAAAATCTTCAAAAAAGTGGCGAATTAGACCTAATAACTCATAATTGACGAGATACTGAATTAGGACAAAAAATCTGACACTTACTTAATGAGTCCCGAGCCGAGGGGAAAAATAGTTTGCCAAGCACCTGAACTTATATTTTCCTTATTTTTTCAGCCTTTGACGAATTAAATGGAAAAGTAATTAAACCGAGTTTCCAAAAAAATAAAGTGGTAATCATTGATAGATACATTGATAGCACTTTTGTTTATCAGGGACTAGAAGGAGGATTAGGAGTTAATGTTGTCCAAGAAATTGCGAGAAAAACCATTAACTTGCCCTTACCTGATATTACTTTTATTTTAGATATTGACCCCCAACAAGCCCAACAAAGACTAAAAAAAAGAAAATTAGCCACTGGTGAATATACTAATTGAGATAATTTAAAACTGGAATTTCACCATAGAATTAGAAATTATTATTTGGAACTGAAAAAAATCTTTCCCGAAAGAATTTATATCGTGAATGCCGACAGACAGGAAGAAGAAATTTTAGCCGAAGTTCAGGGCATAATTAAGCAGACTTATTTGCCAAAAAATGAAGCCGCTTTGCCCCAGTTTGTTCGTGTAGTTATCCAAAATGAAAAAGGGGAGTTTTTGTTGGTAAAAGATAAAAAGTGAGGCTGGAATTTTCCAGGTGGCAAAATAGAGTTGAACGAAAGCCCAGAAAGTGCTGCCAAAAGGGAAGTATTTGAAGAAACTAATTTAGTAGTGGAAAATCTGGAGAAAATTGCGGAGGAAAATGTCTTTTATGCTAACTTACCAAAAGGTAATCAGAATTGAAAAGGATATTTTTTTCAAGCAAATAAATACTCTGGCGAAATTCAGAATAAAGAAGTAGAAAAAATATTAGACATTAAGTTTATGACTGCTAATTCTGAAAAAACAGGTGGGGAGGATAGTGCTTTCCAATTTTATTTAGAAAAAATCAAGAAATTAAAAAAATATGCCAAATAATCAATATAAATCACCCAAAAAGGACAAAACCAAGGTTAGTTGGTTTTATTTGTTTCGCCAGTTTACTCCCCAAACTTCTCTTCATTATTTATTTGGGTTTTTAAGTGCCTTTATTAATGTTAAGATATTAGGAGGAATAGGTGATATTATCAAGGCTGGCAACTGGTATTATGTCAAAAGTAATTGACTAGAAATAGTGATTCGATTAATACTTTTTGGAATTATTGTTTATATCCACATTGCCTTCGGAGAATACTTGGGGGAATTATATAGTTCTCATTTGCGGTCCCGATTGGCCCAAAAATATTTAAAGGCTAATTTCTCCCAAACTCAAAAAGCCAAGTTCATTTTAAGCAATTATGAAAGCGATGCAACTATCGTCGGAAGTAAGGCAGCCCAAATTTTCAATCGTTGTTTTTACTCGGCAATCTCGATAATATTACTGTTCTGACAAATCGGAAAAGACAAGAAACAAAGAACTTTTATACCTTGGATATTTCTGGCTCTCGTCTTTCTTACAGTGGTAGCAGTCTTACTTTATCAATTATCTTACTGATATAGAAAACGAAGAAATAGGACTATTCAAAAAGAAAACAAACATTTTGAAGAAGTAAAAAGTAATCTCGAATATATTAAAATTACTGGAGCAGAAAAAACTGAAATTCAAAAAAGCAAAAAAACATTTGCTAAAGATACTAAAAGCCTTTTTCCTCTTGCTCTTTCGAAATCACTTTATGGCACCCTCCCCAATTACGTTTTGCTAAAGTATATGCCGGTTGTTCTTTTGTTTTTCTTTGTGGAGAATAGTGGCTTTTGGATTGCTCTATATCTTTTATTAGACAAACTATTTGACCGATGAAAAAAACTCTTTGAAATGCTGTGGGCCTTTGGGGGATATGATACTTATCGTTCTAGTGTCAATCAGTTAAATAATGCCTTTGCTATTTTAGAAAAAAATTCTGACTTTCCTGCCAAAACTTCTCAAAAAACTTTGCCAGCAAAAAATCCTGATATTAGTTTTCAAAATGTCAGTTTTATTTACCCCGAAACTAACAAAAAAATACTTGATAACTTTTCTTTCACTTTTCAAAAGGGGAAAAAATATGTAATTGTTGGGCCAAACGGAGTCGGAAAAAGTACTTTATTTAAATTAATTGTTAAACTTTACCAACCCCAGCAAGGATTTATCAAATTAGATGATACCAAGTTGGGAAAAGTTAATAATTCAGCCCTGCGGGAAAGAATTGTTTATTTGCCTAATAATCCCTCTTTTTTTAATACCAGTTTGGGAGATAATATAATTTATCCCGAACCTTACCAGGAAAATATTCACCAGCAAAAACTAGAAAATATTGCTAAAAAGTTAGGAATTAAAGGTTTTATTGATAAATTGCCAAAGCGTTGAGAAACTACTATTGCGGAAAAAGGACAAAATCTCTCCGAAGGTCAAAAACAACTGGTTAGTTTAATGCGAGCATTCGTTCGAGATTATGATATTTATCTTTTGGACGAGTCGTTGAGTAATATTAGTAGTGAGTTAAAAGAAAAAATGTTGAAAGTTATTTTTCAGGAATTAAAAGATAAAACGGTCATCATTATTAGTCATGATAAGGAAGTTATTAAATATGTGGATGAGATATACAAGTTTACTTCTCGTGGACTAGTTAAAGAAAATTAAAAGGAATAAAAAATATGGAAGAAATAAATAGGAAAAATAATCATAAAATTGGTTCAGTCACTGTAATAATTGGAAATATGTTTTCTGGTAAAACTGGTTTACTAATTTCTAAATACAATCAAAATAAAAACTATCGAAAATGTTTGGCCTTTAAACCAACTTTGGATGACCGATATAGTGAAGTTGAAATAGTTTCTCATGATAAGGATAAAATTAAGGCTATTCCAATTAATAGTATTTGGGATATTGAAAAGTATAAAGACCAAGTTGAAAATATATATATTGATGAAATCCATTTTTTTAGAGAAGATGTTAATGCTTACCTAAATGATTTGGCTAATAAAAATAAAGAAATAGTAGTAGCTGGCTTAACCTGGGATTGCTTTGCTGATAAACCCTTTCTGCCTGTGTCTCATTTAGTTGCGACCGCTGAATACCCGATTAGGCTATTTGGAAAATGTGATATTAAAAACTGTCCTGAAAAAAGTACTAAACAACGTTGAAAATTAAATTGATTGCCAAAAAAGCCAGAAGATTTTGTAGGTGGTAGTGAAAAATATGGTTCCTATTGCCGTTTTCATTATAAACCAGTAAAAAAAACAGCTCCAAAGGAAAATAAAAATACTTTAATTATTATTGCAGGCGGGAGTGGCACCGGCAAAACTACGATAGAAAATTTATTAGCCCAGGACCCAAATATTGTCAAATTAGTTTCCACTACTACTCGGCCATCACGAGAGGGAGAAGTAAATGGTAAAGACTACTATTTTATCAGCAAGGAAGAATTTGAGGACGAATTAAAAAAAGGTCGGTTTTTAGAACATGTTGTCTATGACGGTAATTATTACGGGATTCATGGGAAAGTAATAGACCTAGTTTTAGGAACCCAAAAAAAAAACGGAGTAATTATTGTGGATGTGGATGGTTTTCAGCAAATTAAAAAATACTGTCAAGAAAAGGGTTATAATACGACTTCTTACTGGTTTAAAGCCGAAAGTAGGGAAAAAATGGTCGAACATATGAGAAAAAGGGGCACTAGTGAACCAGAAATTATTCGGAGATTAATTATTGAAGAACAAGAAGGAAAATTTGTGGACGAGTTTGATTATATTTTGACGGTTAAAGAAAATGGTCTAACCGAAGCAGCCCAAAAAATTAAAGAAAAATTAAACTATGAAGTGAGTTAATAATATTGGCAAGGTGGTTTTAAAGGTCTCGGCATTTTTGCCTTGCTTTTTCACAGTGGTTAATTATTTTACAGTTTTGACTGAGAAACAACGAACTGAACCAATAGGGATATTTTTTTTAGTGGCCAGCGTAGTTTATTTTCTGCTGGCTCTCTATTTGTTAATAATTAATTGGTAGCGGCAAGAACATTATTATAAAAGGATATGGAAAGAAAAAATAATAAAAAAACAATCAAATTAAACTGATTCACTATTACTAAAAAGTGCTGAAAAGAGCAATTATTTTTTTATGTTTTAACCACTTTAAGCTGTTTAGGTTCATTTGTGATTTCCACTAATGTGGCTAAAAAAATTGCGGAAGCGATTTCTGAGGGAAAGGTTGAATACAATCTCGAGTGGAAATTTTTCGGCAAATTATTGGGAGTATGAAAATTTAATAGTCAAGCAGCCTTTATTACAGCAATGCTGATAGTTATCTTTATTGCTTGTTTGATAGTGGTGGCCCACGTTTACTGTGCTTATTGATTTGCTAATAAAATAGCGGTAGCAGCCAAAAAAAGATTAACCAAAAAACTTTTTTCTTTACAAAATTCTCACAATAAAAAAGAAACTTTAACTGTTTTAACCAATAATGTCCGAACTTTTTCTTATTTATCAATTTTCGTTCCCAACCAAATATATTATGCTTTATTAGATACCATTATGACTTTTGTGGCTGTTTATCAAGCCGGAAGACAAACCAATCAACATACCTTAATCTGATGAGGCATTGCCTATTATCTTTTGATACTGAGTGTGGTCTTTTTCTTTCAGTATTGAGTTTATAAAAAAGACCAACCTTTTCAAAAGGCCTTAAAAAAAGAAACTGAACGAGAAGACTTTTTAGTAAATAATCGCGACTTAATTATTAAGAAAAATTTAACTAATACCTCGCTGGCTTCTTATCATCTTTATCTCAATAAAACTCATGAAAAAGTTAATAAACGGGATTGAATTTACACTTTGGCTTATGTGATTCCCTCTTATTCTTTGGTGCGAGCAACCGGCTTTGTTTTCTTACCTTTTGTTAAAGATTTAGGCACTTTTACAGCGGTGGATAAAATAACTGGACTATGCGATTCAACCAAAAAAATGATTGAGAGATTAAAGGACTATCCTTATGGACTTTCCGCCCAAAAGCAAATTAATGAGTTTCTCGCTCAACCGGAAAGGGATGACATTCAAAAAAATATTCTTGTCTCCGAACCTATTGAAAGCATAAATTTCAAAAAAGTAAGTTTTGCTTACCAGAAAGACAAGCCAATTTTGAAAAAAATGGATTTGCAGTTTAAAAAGGGTAAAGTTAATCATTTAGTGGGAGAAAACGGTTTTGGTAAAAGCACGATAATCAGTTTAATTATGGGTCTACATCAGCCTAACCAAGGAGAAATAATTATTAATAATAATCATAAATTAAGCGAATTAAACTTAATAAAATGACGGGCAAAAATAGCCTATGCCGAACATGAAAACTTAATCGAAAATGGTTTATCGACGGGGCAAAAACAATGAACTGATTTAAATCGCCTTTTTGCCGATACCGAGAGCAAGGAAGTATTTATTTTTGATGAAGCCGATAATGCCTTAGATGAAAAAAATAAAAAAGAGTTTCACCAAAAAATAGAGAAGATTAGCAAAAAGAAATTAGTTATACTAATCGGACATTAAAAAATGGGTGTTTTCAAAAATTAAATTAGTAAAATATTATTAACATGGTAGGTTTAAGTAAAAAGAAAAATGTCAAGCCAGAAAAGATATTAGAAGATATCGAAAAGCACTTAAAAAATATCGCGGGAAAAAAGAAAGAAATTGAAAAAAGTTTTTCTACTAAACTCAAAGAATTGGAAAGTCAGGTTAAAGAAAATGAAAAGTGGTTTAAAAAAGAATGAGAAAAACTGGAAAAATTGGAAAACCAGTTAATTCTATGGTGGGACTTTTGGAAGAGAGAAGTGAAGATAAATAGTTTGCGAGAAAAGACAGAAATTGGAACTCTGCCAAGTGAACGAGAAGCAATAATGGAAGAGATTCAAAACCTTAACACCTATAACAAAACAATTGAAAAAGGTTTCAAGGAAGGAAAAATTGACGTGGAAATAATTGTGGAATTACGAAAGGAGTTGGAAGAGTGAATGAAAGAAAAAAATAATCCAGAGGAGAAATCCTAATAAACGATTCTTGCATGGTAGTTGAGAAATTTGTCAGCCAAATCTATTATTTTTTGGCCATAACAAAGTTAAAAGTTAGACAATAATGAATATTCGCAAATGTTAGTTAATATTAAAGATATTTACCAAAAGGCTCAGGAGTTAAGCCAATTAGAAGAAAAGCAAAGATTAGAGGAAATAAACAAATTAGAAAAAATAAAAGTTGGTGGTTGGGTAAAATCAATCCGAGAAAGTAAAGAAAAGATTTTTATTGCTCTCAATGATGGCTCAACAACCAGCCCCTTCCAAATAATTATTTCTCGGAAAAATTTTTCTCAGACTGATTTGTTGGAGCAAATTAATTTTGCCAGCAGTCTATTAGTGAGTGGCAAGTTAGTATTAACTCCCAACCGAGAACAAAATTGCGAATTGCTGGTTTCGGAAATTGTTTGAACTAACCCGACAGCCAGCGATTATCCCCTTCAAAAAAAAAATGTTCCTTTGGAAGTAGTTCGTAATTATCCCCACTTGCGGGCTAAAACTAATTACTTTTTAGCAGTTTTTAGATTAAGAAGCCAGATTAGTTGGGCCATTCACCAATTTTTTCAACAAGAAGGATTTTATTACATTCATACTCCTTTAATCACAGCAAATGACACTGAAGGAGCCGGAGAATTATTTACTGCTACTACCCGATATGATAAGCAATATGAAAAGGATTTTTTTCGCAAGAAAGCCAAATTGACGGTTAGCGGGCAACTACAAGCCGAAGCCCTCGCCCAAGGCTTAGGTAAGGTTTATACTTTTAATCCTTGCTTTCGGGCCGAAAATTCTCACACCACTCGCCACTTAGCCGAATTTTGAATGGTTGAGCCAGAAATGGCTTTTGCTGATTTAAATGACATTCTTAATTTAGCTGAAAATTTATTAAAACATGTCATTGAAGAAGTAATAAAAAACAACCTGTCAGAACTAAATTATCTCGAAAAATACCACCAAAAAGAATTAACTAACGAATTAAAAAAGATTAGCAATCTTAACTTTCCACGCCTTACTTATGCTGAATGCTTAGAAATACTAGTAAGAAATAAAGAAAACTTTGTCTATAATGAAATTAAGTGAGGCATAGACTTGCAGTCGGAACATGAAAAATATCTTTGCCAACATTTTGGTAATGTCCCAGTCTTTGTTGTTAATTATCCTGTTGAATTAAAGGCTTTTTACATGAAAAATAATCCAGATGGAAGGACAGTCGCTTGTTTTGATTTACTGTTTCCCCAAGTCGGTGAAATGATTGGCGGTAGCATGCGAGAAGATAATTACCAGGTTTTAAGAGAAAAGGCCCGAAAAATTGGCTTAGATTTGGAAAATATGAATTGGTACCTTAGTTTGAGAAAATATGGCTACGCTCCTAGTGGCGGTTTTGGATTAGGTTTGGAGAGGTTAATAATGTTTATAAGCGGAACAGAAAATATTCGGGACACCATTGCTTTTCCTCGGTTTCCAGGAAAATTAGAATTTTAAGTCATTTTTTACTAATAACTGAAATTTTATCAATTTAAGGGGGATTAACCTCTCCTTTTTTTATAATGAGAAAAAACGAGGACGAGAAAAATTAATCCAACCATAATAATGCTGACTATTAAAACTACTTTAAAGATTCCAGAGTTTTTTAGTGTCTCTGGACTGGTTGGGTTGGGCTTGGGTGGAGGATTGCCAGAATTATCATTTTTTGGCGGGGTTTTAGTAGGATTTTCTGGGCTATCTTGACTTTTCTTTTCTGTCAAGGAGCCAAATTCATATTCAAAATTGGTCGAAAAAGACAAGGTGTTATTTTTGCTGCTAACTCTAAACTCTTTTACTCCCATGGTGAAAGTCTTTCCGACTGAATTTTCTAATGCTGGACTTTTGTATAATTCGCATTTAGTTAATTCATAGTTGCCAGCGGCCAACGGGTTAATTTCGTCAGCAAAATAAAAAACCAACCGAATAATCGGTGGTAATCCTTCTATCCCCAGGTCTAATGGTTCAATTTCTAGAATATGTCTATAATCACCATGCCTCGAAAAACTTTCTTCATAAGTTAATGGTCTTCCTTTTTCCTCTCCATAACCCTCTTTTTGCTGTTTTACTACCTTAAAAGTAATTTGATAAGGCGAGGACGATTTGATGTTCCTAGTTTCAGTTAATTTTTCCACTTGACTAGGGTCCTTGATTAATAAGGCATCTCCTTTATATTCCTTATCTACTTTTTGGCTAAAATGAGGTTTAAATTCGAGGTTAGTAAAAGGAGTGGCGAAAAAGTCTCCTTCTACTTCCTTTTTATCAATTACCTCCTTAATTTGCTTACTAAAATTCGAATTATCTTTTGGAACTAATAAACGAGTTCAAACACCGTCAGAAAAAGTTAAACTTCCTAAATTTTGACTAGCCGAAAAACAAATTAAATATTCTCTGCCCTCTTCTCAACAAGAAGCTGGGTCATTAGAAAATCGGAAGCGAGTCGGACAGAAGTAAAGTTTCATGCTTTCCATATTCACTTTTTAATAAAATTTATTATCTTATTTTCAAAAAGGCAGCGTAGCTCAGTTGGTTAGAGCAAACGACTCATATTCGTTAGGCCGGAGGTTCAAGTCCTCCCGCTGCTACCATAAATAAAAGGGATAAGAGGGAAGTGTACCCAAGTGGTTGAAGGGGCCGGCTTGGAGAGCTGGTAGGGATGTTAGTAGCATCCGCGGAGGTTCAAATCCTCTCACTTCCGCCAGAAACATGAATGACAAAATAATGACTTTCGATCTATGCTCTAAAGCGCCAAAGTCCCCACAAAAATAAAAATAGTAAAACAAAAAAATAAGCGCTACCTGTTATCAGAATAATAAGGGCAATTTTATCCTCACGGCGAAACTTTCATTTAACAAAAAAGCCATAAAATAAAAAACTTAGAAAGAATAAGAAGAAAAAACTAAGTTGACCCTCCAGCACGAATATCATTTTCTATTATTAGATTTTATATCAAAGACCATTTAAATTTTTTTTCTACTTCCCTAAACAAAACTTACTAAAAATGATATCTAATAATTCTTCATTATAATCTTTACCACTTAATTCTTTGACTAATTTATAAATAATTTCTAAATCTCCACATAGGGCGTCCAAATAAGTTTCTTTTTTTAATTCACTAATTACAGCTTTTAATTGTTGGATAAGTCTGGCTAATTTGGCCTGTTGTCAACTTTGGCTTAAATAGGGATAAGGGGACAAATTATTTATTAAATTGCTGGCAAATAATTCGCTAATTTTAGTTTCTAATTCTTTTAACTGTCTTTTTTTGGCACTAATTCGGCAAATCTTTCTCGTAGAAACAAAAGAAGGAGTTTGTAATTTATTTGGTTCATCTATTTTGTTAATAATAAGTAAATAATTTTTGCTTTTAATTTTTTGAAAAATATTTTCGTCTGCTTGGCTTCACGGACAGGAATTATCCACTAAAAAAAAAATGATTTCGGCTTTGTCTAAGGCTTGTAAACTTCGTTCTACTCCAATTTTTTCTATTATATCCTGAGTTTCATGAATGCCGGCTGTATCTAACAGAGTTAAAGGTATCCCTTGGAGGTTATAACGGGCTTCAACTATGTCCCGAGTAGTTCCAGCAATGGGCGACACAATGGCTTTTTCTTCCTGCAATAAAGCGTTTAAAAGGGTAGACTTACCAACATTCGGCTTCCCGACAATGGCAATTTTTAACCCTTCTTGGTAGACTCGGGATTCTCGGCCGCTTTTTTTAATAACTTCTAATTTCAACAACAGTCTATCTAAGCGTGAAAGTGCCGCTTTTCCAGTTAGGTATTCTACTCCATCATATTCCGGGTAATCAATATTGACTTTAATAGTAGCAATAATTTCTAATAACTCATTTTCAATAATTTCTAATTCTTTTTGGGTTTCGGGACTTAAATTGTGGAGGGCTAATTTGGCGGCTGGCAAACTGGGAGCCCGAATCAAATCATTAATGGCTTGAGCTTGAACTAAATTGAGTTTGCCGTTAAAAAAGGCTTGCTTAGTGAACTCACCGGCTTGGGCCAACTCTGCCCCATTTTCTAGAATTAATTGTAATATTTGGTTAACAATAAATAAGTTACCATGACAACTAATTTCCACTACATCTTCTCCTGTAAAAGAGTGAGGTTTATAAAAACAAAGAAGCAGTACTTCGTCAATAATTTCTTTTTGTGGGTTAATAATTTTACCAAAGATTAATTGCGAGTTTTTTGGGGGGTATTCAGGCAGGGAGCGGTCAAAAATCCGAGTGATAATTGAATAAGTTTGCGGACCAGAAACTCTAATCAGGGCAATATTTTGGGTAATAGGAGCGGTAGCCAAAGCAACAATAGTTCTTTTAGTAAACATATAAAACTCTTGTAATTAAAGGTCTAATTTCAAAATTAACTTAATTTTCTCGTTAATTAGTTTTTATAGATAACTCTCCTTCCTTGCGGGGTTATTGATTAGTTTAATTTCTTTTTTTCTGAACTCGTTAAACTTTCCTTCTTAGAACTTTTTTGTTTAAAAGGCTAGTTAGTAAGACTCTTATTGTTAAAATAATATTAATATAAATAATGCGTAAAAAAAAAGTAATCAAAAGTCATGTAATCAAGCCCGACCCAAAGTTTGCTTCGGTTATTGTTAGCCGCTTAACTAACAAAATAATGAAGGACGGAGAAAAAAGAAAGGCAATGAATATCGTTTACCAAGCCGCCCAGACAATTGAAAAAAAGACTTCTTTACCTTTTTTAACTGTTTTAGAAGGAGCAGTAGCGAATGTTAGGCCAGCCATTGAAATGAAAAGCCGCAGGGTTGGCGCCTCAAAACAACGTGTTCCCAAAGAAATTGATGAGGTTCGTTCAATGAAAATAGCCTTGCGGTGGTTAGTCGAAGGAGCCAAAGAAAAAAAGAGCACTGAGCCAATGTATGAAAAATTGGCCGGAGAAATCAACAGTGCTTATAATAAGTCTGGTGAAGCCTTTAAGAAAAAAGAAAATCTTTACAAGGAGGCTGAATCAGGTCGGGTCTTTTCCTCCCTGTTGAACCGCTAGAAACTTTTTTTAAAATAATAATGTATAAAAACTCCTATGAAAAAAAAATTTCGTTCAAATCCTATCAAAAAATACAATAAATTATTCAAATATTTAAGTTTTGACCAAAGTTTATTCTCGTCCTTCCTTATAACAATCATTATTCTCCTCTACACCTTTGCTATTTTAGGGCTTTTTTACATTTTGCGCATCCCAACCAGCGGCGGAGAAGCAGCATTTCAATAATAAAATAATTAATGAAAAGAAAAAGTTATCAGTGATATATCCTGTCAGTGCGTGGCGGACGGGAGGAGAAAATTATTGAAAAAATTAAATCAGAACTAGAGAAAAAGGAATTGAGCGATTATGTTCGTGACTTAAAAGTTGTTAGTGATAGCAGCAAGAAAAACATTTTAAAAGGCTACATTCTTTGTCATTGCCATTTAATTCCAGAATTGGCCCACCTTATTTACAAAATACCGGAAATAATCGGTTTTTTAAATCATCAAAGGAGCGAGGAGAAATTACCTGACCCGGTTTCTGAAGAAATGGTTAAAAGTTTCTTAACTAAGATGAAAGAAAAAAAAGAAAATAAAGTTGGCAATTATGACGAAGTTGACTTAAACGTTGGCGACTTAGTAAAGATTACCCAAGGAACCTTTATTAACCGGGAAGGACGGATTACCTATTTAGACAAAAAAAAACAGAAAGTCAAAATTATTATTGAGTCTTCTGGCTGAGAAATTAGTGATGTACCAGTAAACATTTGCCAAAAAGTAATATAATTAATTATTATGATTACGTTTTGTGATGCTTGTGGTTCGAAAGGAGGAAATTCTTGAATGTCTTATCATGGAATTTTTTCCCGAGATAAACAATCGCTCCAAAAATTTATTGCCAAAAAAAGTGGCAAAAATAAAGACGGAGACGATTTTGAATTATGCGGAAACTGTAATGAAGAATGAAAAAAAGTCTTTTCGCAAGAACTAAAAGAGGAGATAATTAAGGAATTAAGACACCGAAAATCAGTTGAATACTTAGAGGATTACAACAATAATTACTGGAAAATGATTGAACGGAAGCCAAACAAGCCCTCGTCGAAAACATTAAACGTTATAAAAACGAATGAGAAATTAAAGAAATGAATTGAAATAGAAATGGCGAATACTACTATGATGGTTGGCAGAGAGAGAGAGAGAGAGAAGAAAATAAATAAGCAAACAATTCTTCTTCACCAATCAGCCCAAATAGAATACAGCGAAAACGGTTTCTTAATAATTAGACCACCCAAAATGTATAGAAAGGATTATTTCCCCCCCGAGCAATGAACTGAAATTGAAAAAGTCTTAAATCAAGAGTCACAAACAACAAAAAACCAGCCAGCGGGCAAACAAACTTTAATCATTTGTGGAGTAATATTTTTGATAATTGGAATAATAATTTTATTAATTTACTTAATCAGAAAAAGAAAGCAAAAATAAAATTATAATAATATATGAGTACAGAAATAACGAAAAAAGAAATACATTTAATTAAACTAGATATCGACGGGACCAGCACTAATCCAGACTTCTCCACCTTAAATCAAAAACTAAAAAAAGTTTTACAAAAATTAAAAGAGCAAGGCCATAAAATATGTTTTACAACCGGACGAAATTATTTGTCAGCATTGCCTTTTTATCAAGAAGTTGGTTTAGATACTTTTTTGGTTACCTATAACGGAGCCTACATTAATAATCCTTCCAAAAATAACGCTGACGAATTAGTGCTTAATCCTATTTCTAACCAAGTAGTTAAAAATATTTTAGATGAACCAATAATTAAAAAAAATCTCCATAATGTTTTGATTGACAAAATTGACCGTACAACTATTAGCACCAGTGATGATATTTATTACGAAGAGATTTTTTTTAATGGCAATCCCTACACTAAAGGAGAAAATATTTTGAAACTCTTAGGGGAGCAAGACGCCTTACAGTTAGTTTTGGAATTTTCTAAAAATGACGAAATGTTCAACAATATTTTAATGTTGTTGCGCAGCAAGTATAATGCTTCTGTTACTTTTTATTCTGGTAGTAAATTAAAAGCCAAGAGCCCTGGTGATAAAGTCCTTGTTCCAGACCCAGAAAAAACTATCATCAAAATTCGTAACAAATTTGCTAGCAAAGGCATGGGAGCTGAATGAGTAGCTAGTTATTATAATATTCCTTTGTCTCACACCATTGCTTTTGGCAATGACGTTAATGACATAGAACTAATGCACACCGTTGGTAAAGGTATTGTCACGGCCGATAGCGATAATCATTTAAAGGCCTATGCTTATGGAATAACTGATTTTGGGGTTCTTAATAGCGACGGAGTGGCTCAATTTTTAACTAAGCATTTTGGTCTAGACAATTAGTAATTATGATGTCTAATTAGCCTTTTTTAGGAGAGTGATAATTATGACATTAGCAATTAAAAGTAAAAAATTAAAGAAAAGACCATAAAATTGTCGATTAGCCAAAAAAACTCTCTATTTTTTGATAATTTTCTTGTCAAACTGAAATAGTTGACAACAAGTTAAACCCTTTTTTCACTTTTAAGAAAACTATTTGGAGATTATTGGCAATAAAGTAAATGCCCCAGTCCAAACTTCCTTTTCCCCCACAATAAATTTGATAATAAAGAAATAAAAAAAGAATAATAATGCCCGAAATTATTAATTCTGGTAGTTGATGAAGAGCCAATGAAAAGTTAATATTGATTATTTGTTGGGAATTAGTGTCTAATGTTTTATTCAGACTTTTTAAGTCTTCTGGCTTACTCAACCAAGTTTTTATTTGAACTTTTTCTAAGTTTTGGTAATTATTCTTTTTAGTCAAATTGGCCTTACGAGACGAACTCAAAAAATAATAAAAGAAAGCAAATCAGGTTAAATTAACTAAGATAAAGATAAACAATAAAGGAACTAGTTGCGTCAAACGATAAGAAGTAATGAGGAAATATAAACTTAGCACAGTAAAAGAAATATCAACAAATATTTCGAATAAATCAACTGGAACAGTGACAAATTGGCGAGAAAATTCCGGCACAACTCTGTTAATGATATAGACCCCTTCACTAGTTTTTTTAGCCAACAAATCTTTATTTTTATCAACATAATTCAACAACTTTTTCGTCAAGTAGACGTTAACTTCTCTTTCATAATTTCTTTTCCAATAATTAAGAACTAAGTGGATAATTATTTTGAGGGGAAAATAAAGTAAAAAAAGAATGAGTAATAACTTGTTTCAATCTACGTGTATTTCACTACCTTCAATTTTTTCGATAAGTCGGTATTTACCAAAAAGATAAAAAAAATGACCCCGACCTTGGTCATGGGATAAATTTTTAACTAAATTAAAACGAATGAGAAAAGTTATATAACTAACTAAAAAAGTAAGGAAAAAAAGGAGGAAAAATTTTCATTTGAATTTTTTGAAAAGAGATTTTAATAACTTTTCCTGAGGCACAATAAATTATTTTTTTCTTCTAATGCGCTTTTAAGTCAACAAAAAAAAGAGAAAAAAGCCTAATAATTCAAGTTAGGACTTCAATTATTAAGAGGGGGCAGTGCCCCCTGGGCTTACTTATAAATCAAACCTCTAATTTTCCTAATTTTTTCTTTTACTTCAGCATAGTGAGCGTCGTATGGCTTTTTTTGATAGGAAAGCAATTCTTTCTTAAAATGATTGTCAAAGGCTGCTAAAACTTCCCTACAACCTTTTTTCAATAATTCTAATTCCTTATCAGTAGGAGAAATTTTGCCGTTCTGCCACTTTTTAATAAATTCTTCGCTTATTTTTCCTGCTTGGAAAAATATTTTCAAAGTCAACCTACTCATTTCTTGCGTTCTTGCCTCCTCATCAACCATTAAATACTTTTGCTGGGCTTTAAAATATAAGTCATAACCCTCCTGCAGCGAAACCCTCTCTCTTTTTATTTTGACTAGCAGTTCGCTCAGTTCTTCTTCCAAATAGTAAATCATCGAACTGCAGGATTTGCTTACAAAATCTTACACTCTTCGGGGTCTTTTGCCTTAGGCGGATAACCCTTTGGAGTCTCGGCTTGAACTATCTTAGGTTCTCAATCACCACCACTGTTTCCTCCTGAACTACCCGAACTGCTTCCGCCACCAGCACCGGCACCGCCGTTGCCACCAGCATCTTTTTCCTTGACACAATAAACTCTTGACACTCCTAAAAAAGTAGCCAATTTAGTTATTTTGCTTTGCTCCTCCACCTGATTATCTAAATATCTAACTTCTTCTACTTGCGCTTTATTTTCTTTGGGAATTATAATGTTTTCTTTTACCATATTATTATATAAATTATTCGTATTTTTTTGCTGCTATTTTAAACAGTTAGCCTCTGTTTACCAGTTCTTTTACTTAATATTCTAATGGTGGAACTGGTTGAGAAATCCAAAGATTATCAGTAAAAAACCAATAACCCAATTAGAATATTACTTTGCCCTGTTTTACTTCCGGTAAAGCCGCTACTAATCTTTTTGCTAGCCAAAAGACTTTCGAGCGAAAGTGTGAAGTCATTTTTTACTAATCTTTTTATCGCGAATAAAAGAGTAGTGGGATGAATAAGAACCCGTGAATTTATTTTGTAAACTTTTGCTTTGGACTTAGTTAACTTCATATATATAAGTTTTGTTCTATTTTACGGAATTAATTAACTCATATATATTTAATTTTATTTATAATATATTCCTAATTATTATAATACTTTTTTTAAACTTTTGCTTTGGTTTTTTTTGCTCCTCGTAGTAAATTATCTTTTTTTTGGGGCTTAATTCTTTCTTTCTCTTTTTTGTGGTGTAATCTTTGAATAAATCTCTTTTCTCGGACAACATGAATGATTACCTCACCTGGAATAACAATGTCTTTTTTAATTTTTTCCCTGATTTTTCGGGCCACCTCCCAGGTTTTATGGTCATTTAATTTTTCTGCATCAGCAAATACTCAGACCTCCCGTCCGGCTTGAAAAGCATAACTTTTTTTGATGCCGGGGAACTTATTAGCAATATTTTCCAAACTATTCATTCTTTCTATATAAGATTCTGACTGGTAGCCGCGGGCACCAGGACGGGCTGCTGACAATTTATCGGCCGCTAAAACAATCAAAGAATAAAGATTATTAGGAGGAAAATCCCGATGATGAGAAGCAATGGCGTTAATAACCACTTCGGATTCCTGGCACTTTTTGGCTAAACTGACACCACTCAGGACATGGGAATAACTTCCATTATCTTCCACTGCTTTGCCAATGTCATGAAATAAGCCAACTCGCCGAGCCAGAAGAACGTCTAAATCTAATTCAGCCGCAATACTTCCCGCTAATTTGGCCACTTCTAAGCAATGTTCAAGAACATTTTGCCCATAACTTGTGCGAAATTTTAGTCTTCCCAAATGTTTAACTAATTCGGGATGGACATTATTCAATTCCAATTCCTTCAAGACCTCCGTTCCAGTCTTGATAATAAATTCTTTAATTTCTGAACTTACTTTTTGGTAAATTTTTTCAATGTGGAGTGGGGAAAACTTACCTTCTTTAATTAAAGTTTGGAGAGTTTGTAACCCTACGGCTCGACGCAAAGAGTTAAAAGAGGAAATCTGAACGCTTAATTCGTCACTTTCGCGGTCAATGATTAATTCGGTTCCAGTAACTCGTTGAAAGGCATTAATATTTCGCCCTTCTTTCCCAATTATTTTGCTAATTATTTGGGGACTTTCTACTCACAAAGTATCGGTCGTTTTGGTGAAAACTAGTTCCGAACTGCATTTTTCTAGAGCCAAACAAATCACCTTGGCACTTTCTTCCTTCGCTACTTTTTCAGTTTGTTTAATTTTTTCTTCCTTGTATCACTCTAATTCTTGGTCCACTTCTTCTCTTAGTAGAAATAAGAGATTTTTTTTGGCCTCTTCTTTACTCATTGGAATCGCTTTTTCCAACTTATCCATTACCCATTTTTTTATTTCATTAACCTTTTCCATCTCAGCCTTGATACTCTTTTCCTTTTCGGAACTCACCGCCAACTGCTGAGTAAACAATTCCTCTTTACGGAATAATTGATTAGCAAACTCACTTATTCTTTTCTCTTCCCGCTGTACTTTTTTTTCCTTTTCTTTAATTTTTTCTCACTCAATGGTTAATTTTTTATTATCGTTCTCTATTTTTTTTTCTCTAGTTTTTAACTTGCTCTCTTGTTTTTTTTGGCTGTTAAGTAACCTTTTTAAATCTAATCTGCCCCAGTGTACTCTTTTGAGGTAACTAAAAAATGCTAAAATTAATATAATAAGAAATGAGGCAAGGAAAAAGAGTAAATATCCATAGCCTTCTCTTAGTCATTGAGAAAAATCCATATGAAAAAACAAGAGTTAAAAAAATTACTGAGTAAAAAAAACAAACCGTTAGCCGGAAATAATCGTTCCTTTTCGATGCGAGCCACTCGCAGGAAGTTTGCCACTAACCGCCAGAAGTTTCGCATTGGAGATAAGACCTACTATATCCCCACTAAGTTATTCCGCACTTACTGAACAAGACTAAAAAGTTAAAGAGAAGTTTCTACTTCCAGGTGGGCAGTGTTAGGAACCTTTAACTTTTCGAGGGATTCTAAGTCACTTGGAGAAATCTTAGCAATGTGAATTACTCGCTGGTGAATTTCTCGAACAAATTGTTCTTGCGAATCCTTATGTTTGTGAGGAGAAATAGGTACTGAGCGGAGCACCCTTTTGGTTGGAAAAGGCATGGGACCACTGAATTTTAATTTGAGTTGAGAAAGTTTTTCACTAACCAGCCGCGTGGCTTCTTCAGTAGTTGCTACGTCATAACCATAAACGGTAATTTTTATTTGACTATTAATTTTTACTGCCATTATAAATCTAAATTGAGATATATTAATATTTTAGGTTTTTTCTTTTTAACAATGACTCAAAACTATATTATTAGTGAAGAATAATTTTTTCATGAAAGCAATTGTCATAATAGGAAATAAAGAGGTGGGAAAAACCACTCTTTTTCAGCAATTAGTAAAACTTTATTCTTCTAATAAAAGAAAAACCAATATTAAACCAAATCCAGTGATTAACTACACTGAAGACTTAATTCAAATCCAGGATAAAACTTACCGACTAATTGATACGCCAGCGTTTATTCTTTCTCCCAAGACGGAAATAGAAAAAGGGATTAAAACCCAAACTGAAGATTTGTTAAAGACTAGTGATTTAATTTGCTGGATAATTGATAAAATAAGCGAAGAAGAACTATTGTTAAAAAGATATTTAAAAAAATTTCAGGCTCCGCAAATTTTAATATTTAACAAGACAGATTTAGTGAGCGAAAATGATTTTTATGACTATCAACTTCTCTGACCGAAATATTTTTTAACTATTTCAGCCTTAAAAGGAACCAACCTTGGCGAGTTAAGCAAGCAAATAACTACTCTTTTACCTCACTCCTCCGGTGAGAAAAATGCCGACCACAAAGAAAAAGAACTAAAATTACTCATTTTTGGTCCACCTAATTCGGGCAAATCCACCCTCATGAATTATTTATTGCGAGAAAATCGTTCCTTGGCTACCCCAATTGCCGGCACTACCCAAGAACCAGTAATTAGCAATTGGAATTGAAAACAAAGTTTCGGCGAAGCAAAAAGAATTGACTTTGAACTGGTCGACACCGCTGGCATTACCAAAGAACAGAAATTAAAAGAAAACATTTGGAGAAAATGTGATTTAGCCTGAGCAGTGATTGACGCCACTCTACCTTTGACTAAACAAATCCTCCAAATAGTTAATTTAGGGGAAAAACATAATAAACCATTGATTATAATTATTAACAAATGTGATTTACTAGAAGAGAGAGAGGAATTAAAAGAAGAAATAAAAAGACGGCTAAAATCACTAAGTTATGTGCCAATAATTTATATCTCGGCCTTAAAGGGGTTAGGGTTAAAGTCATTACTAAAAATTTTAGAAAAAATGCTGGAACAATCCCAAAAAAAACTTTCTAAAAAGGAACTGGCAGAAATAGTAGCAAAAATGTTAATTAATAATCCGCCTAAATATTTTAAGGGCAATAAATTAAAAATCTATTTTGCGAAACAGGAACCCGGTCTAACTCAAACTTTCATTTTTTTTGTTAACAATCCTCAATGGGCTCATTTTTCTTATCAAAGATACATGACTAATTACTTACGGAAAAATTTAGGCTTAGAATACTTACCGATTAAAGTAGTATTAAAAAAGAGTGAATAAATTACGTTATGAAATGTAATTACTGCCAAAAAGATATGGAAAAGGACAAAGAAATAAAAGTTAAAGAATTAGATTGAGAGAAAATTTTGGCTAGTATTGGAGGGATATAAACAATTAAAAAAATAAATAATATGTCGGATAGTCCCAAAACTTTTTTTCAAGATTTACAACAAAGAGGAATAATTGCTAACTACGCCAATCTAGATAATTTTTACCTACTAAGACCAGAGGAGAAGGTGATTTACTTAGGAATAGACTGCACAAGCGAAAAATTACATATCGGACACTTATTTTTATATTTTCAAACCGTTCGTTTTGCTAAGGAAGGCTTTAAAATATTACTAGTTTTGGGTGGAGCCACCAGCAAAATTGGAGACCCGAGTGATAAAGATAAAGAACGCCCTTTATTAGAAGAAAAGCAAATTGAAAACTACCACGCCAAAATAAAATCACAGTTAGAAAAAATATTAATCAAGCCTCAAAAAATAGAAAGAGTTGACTTTTCTCCTTTAGAGCAATTTTATCAGGACAATCCTGAGTTATTAAACAATATTTACCGAATATTAAAAATAAACCCAACTGATAACAAAGAAAAGCAATGAGAGGAATATTTACAATATGTCTGACCCTTAAAAGAAAACACTAACTTTCGAATTTTAAATAATAAAGATTGATTAGAAAAGATAAACTTCATCGATTTTTTACGCCAAACTGGAAAATATTTAACCATTGCTTACTTGTCAAGTAAAGAAACTATCAAAAAAAGAATTGGCGATGGACTCTCTTTTTTAGAGTTTAGTTATCCCCTTATTCAGGCTTATGACTTTTACTATTTGTACGAAAATTACCACTGTCACGGACAATTAGGTGGCAGCGACCAGTGGGGAAATCTGACTACTGGCCTAAAGTTAATTAGTAATTTTTATCCTGAGGAGGAATTTGCTAACGAAAAAAAAAATAAATCTTTTGCTTTTACTTTTAACTTGTTGACTGATAAAGAAGGCAAAAAATTTTCTAAAAGTGAAAGTGGCAAAAAGATTTTATGGCTCAACAGCGAAAAAAAAGATTTTTACGATTTTTGGCGTAATATGTCCGACGAGCAGGCGAAAATTTATATCAAGCAATTTACTTTTTTGAAAGAAGAACAAATTGAAGAATTGATAAAATTAAACAATCCTCCTAAATTAAGAATATTACAAAGGATTTTATATGAATTAATTCATTGACTTAATTACAGTGAAATAATAAAAAACCTTCCTTCTAACCTCCAAACTTAATAAACGTGAGAAAAGTTTTCTACAATAGCACACCTATATAGCAAAAGTCAAAAACATTTAATATGAATTGGAAAAATCTTTTTCAAGAAAACTGAGGAGTGATTATTGGAATAGTAATATTGCTGCTTCTTTTAATCTTTATTATTTTTATAATTTGGGAAAAAGAAGAAGTTAAAGAAAAAAGGAGTGATAAAGGTCTTTTAATTTGCCCTATTCGTGGTATTTTACGAGCCAGAAAATATGATACTAAGGGCAATTATACCGAAGAATACCAACGAATTAGATTGATTAAATATCTTTTACAAAAAGGTTATCCTAAAAGTCAGTTTATCATTGAATACGCAATACCAATCGGACACAAGGGACAAAACACTCTCCGGGTTGATCTAGTAATCAAGGGACAAAATAGATTTATCTGTGTCGCAGAGGTAAAAAAGGGTTATACTGAAGAAAATATGAGGTCGGCCATCAAACACCAATTAATCCCAGCGATGCGAATAGTTAATGCTAAGTATGGCGTTTATTTTGACGGCACTAGAAAGAGCCGTTTATTGACAAGAAACAACGATGGAACTCTTTCGATACGAGAATTTCCTTAATTTGTCTTACGAGAGGACTTTTTCTTTTTGGCGAAGAATAAGGCAAGGCTAACTAAAACAACCCCCCCAATAGTTCCTGCCACTAAGCCAATTACCAGTTGGTGATTATTAGTTTTGTTATGACTAGAACCAGAAGAGTTATTATTAACTCCAATCCCTAATTCTTGGGAAGTCAGTTCATTTTTATTATGTGCCTGACAATATTTTTTAAGAGTTTGGTAATCTTGGTTATTAGTGGTTTTAACCGAAGTAGATTGGTGGTTATTAATAAACTCAATTACTAATTTATCATTTTTATAAGTTATTTTTCTAATATTTAATTTTTGGAAGATAGTTTTTAAGTTTTCTAATTCAGAATAGTTGTTTGGTTTTTTTCTTGGATTGTCATTTATTTTGCTAGGTTCATTTTTGCTAGGAAGACTATTGTCAACATAAGAATAAGTTTCTTTATCTGGCAAGTCTAAATTAGAGTCAGGAATTTGAGTAAAACCTACTTGGTGATCGTCATAAACAGAAATGGCTCCTTTCTTTCCACCACCATTAACTAAATGTCAAAAAGGATTTATCCTCATTTCTAATAACTCACTAGCGAGTTGCTGATTATCTAAGTCCTTCCAAAAAATTGTTTCTCCTCTGCTATAACTACCAGTGCTATAATTTTCTAAATCTTTGCGATTAATAGAAATTTGAAGTTCGCCGCCGCCATTTATGTTAATTATTTCCTCATCTCTTTTTCCCAGTCAAATAAAAATATTACCTTCATTATTATTACCAACTTTTATTCAGTATTTAAGACTATTTTCATAGCCCAAAGAAGCAATTGTTTTTTTAATCT